GTAGCTCGCGGTATACTGAGCTTAGGGTGACAGGAGGACACTAGTTTGTGTCCTCCCGTTACCCTAAGGAGAACTATGGGGAAAAGCCCTAACCCCATAGTTCTCCTTTAAGGCTTCATTTATAAAACATATGCCGGTAGGATGCAGTTCACAAAGCACAAGTGCCCCTATATGGCAATGCTGAGTATAGGAATTTTCTGTACTCGTTAGTGCCATCTAGGGGGTCTACTGCCATGCAAATGGCAGCCGCCCAGTTACAGCGGGTGGAAGTTTAAGGAAAAAAAACCCCTTAGAGATTGGGGACAGTAAGCTTCAACTTTAGGTTCACAATACATTTACAGAAAATAATATGCAGCCCATTGGTGTTGTCAAGAGCCCCTATATTTTGATAATTATAGGTATTTCTATAGTGCCGCCAAATTACGCAGGGCTTTACATGTTGCACATTCACATCAGTCCCTGTGCTCAAAGAGCTTACAATCTAAGGCCCCTATCTCACATGTATACATACAGGGCCAATTTTAAACCGGAGTCAATTAACCTACAAGCATGTCTTTGGAGTGTGGGAGGAAACCGGAGTACCCGGACGAAACCCATGCAAGCACAGGGAGAACATGCAAACTTCTTGCAGATAGCATCCTGACCAGGGACCCCCTGTGCTGCAAGGCAGAAGTGCTAACCACTACACAACTGTGCTGCCCTATAAGTTTACCATCACTGTTTTAACCCTTCCTCACATCATACAAAGTGAAAAAAATGGATGTTGCTGAAGATCAGTGTCGTCTTGCACCTCTAGGGTCATCTTAAGCTGGAACAGTGAAACAGATGTTGTTCAGCTTCACTGCCAGTAATATAAATCCTCAGGAACTGCTGTTTGCTCTACGAGTCAGAAAGTGTCTCCTGCTGCGGGAGGACTGAAGCTACTGGACAAAAGATAATGCAACTTTAATGGAAGTACTCACAGGAAAAGGAAAACCAAAGCCCCTTGATTACTGTCACACAGTCAGAGTCCATCTGCTCGACTAGATTCACAGTTCCGGCTTCATCTGACGCAATGGACGCTGACACTGACCATCAATTTAAATTTCACATGATGGAGGGAGTCACATCAGTAACAGTCACATTAAATAAATCAACAATAAAACTCCATCAAAACACAATCCTCAGCATGTCTGCATTAGCACGTTATCAGTGGTAAAACAGCTATTACTGAGATCGTTCTATTTTACAGTATATACAACCCTAGCCACAGTGGCGAAACTACCGCCGGTGCAGGCGGTGCGGACGCACCAGGGCCTTGGGGCTCTAGGGGGCCCAGCGCCGGATCGGTACCCAGTGGCCAGCGGGCCCCCCATCTCTGCGCCGAGAGTGCCGGATCATCCGTTCATCCAACACTCCCGATGCAGAGATGGGGGCCCGCCGGCCGCCGGATACTGATGGTTGCCATAGCCATATACAGCTATGTTTTCAAATTGTTGTCTGGATAGAAGCAACATCGCCTAACCACATTGTTCTAATTTCCAGGCAAAGCACTCATTTTGATTTTATTTCTTGTTACTGTACCAGACTTGTAACTTTTAATGCGGAAATGTCTTTATGTCCATAGGACAATACCACTTCCTTTGTTCTGTTTGCTTAATGTAAGTCTGCGTGTCTATTCTTATTCTTTATGTCTGGGCAGTAGCGCAGAACCGCATGTCTTGTATTGAATGCAATCCTTATTAGCTATTCTTAATATATTAAGAACAGAGACTGCTGTGTACAGGCTTTGGTGCATTGGCAGCTTCTTGATTGCTACTGAGCAACCAAATGTTTTCACTACTTACTCAAGCGAAGTTTGCTGCAATTATTGTCAACTGCTACATCATTTGAAGAGATTTTAGAATCGTTCACTGGTTGGGAGGTTCTCACATGTTCCAGGCCCCTGTGGCAGCAAGTGACATTAGAGCCATACTACAGGCATACAGCAAAGTACACACTGAAAAAAATAAAAATAAAATAATATATATATGTGTATATATATATATATATATATATATAAACAATTCAGATACACTGAGGGGAATTTATCAAAACTGGAGCAGACAGAATGTGGAGCAGTTGGCCATGGCAACCAATCAGATTCTATCTTTTATTTTCAAAGCTTAACAGAACAAACTGAAGAGAGAAGCTGATTGGTTGCCATGGACAACTGCTCCAGATTTTGTCCGCTCCAGGTTTGATAAATTCCCCCCAGTGTGTATAATGGAGCTGTTTTGCCTGCCAAAGGATTTGCGTATCTTTCCATCCATTCCTGAGATTTATACAGCACATGGCACCAGTGGCGTCACAAGGGGGGTGCGGCCCGCACCCAGGTGACACCATTGGAGGGGTGACACCAAAATGACTGAAAGTCATTTTGGTGTCACCCCCCTCTGAAAAGTCAGGCACTCTGTCAAGACCAAGAGCCCGAGAGTTGCTCAAGAGAGGAGGGGACCCGGCCAGGTGACGTCCCCTCCTCTCTCTGCTGGCATCCATCACCAAGATGGCTGCCAGCAGGTAACAGTGGTAGCGCACATGATGTCACCCGGTACCCGCCGCGGGTGTCACCCCGCCTCGGGATGCCTCTGCATGGTACACCCTGTCTGGCAAGGCAGGAGGCCTGATTTTTCTCTGCTGCAGTTAAGTTACACTTACAGGTCTCCTCCCCATCCCAGCCAGTAACTGCACAGTGAATGAAGAAGCAGCAGATGGTGACTGTGGTGAAATTTTACTGCAAAGAATACCCAATCATGTGCAAGAAAAATAAAATAAAAATTATTTTTGCTTGCACATGATTGGATGATGGAAATCAGCAGAGTTTCACCTCGTTCACTAAACTAAGGGAAACTTCTCCTGCAAAGTGCAAATTCCTCTGCAAAGTGAACAGCCTGTTTGCCTTTGTAAATTAACCTCACAGGGGTAGGGATGGTGCCCCCTGCTGAGAGAGCAATAATGAATCTATGTTCTATCCAGGAAGTGGAAATGTGCACCTGTAGGTGCTCCTAGTTCTGTGACTGCTGCTACTAAACAGACACTGGTCTCACACTGTCAAGAACCAATCATTGTGCTTCCTGATCATGTGACTGCCAAGAGAGACGATCAGGGCGATCACATAAGGTTTATTTACAAGCAAACCTGCTAGCTGCAGCTGTCTGTTGATTACAGTATGCACATTTTTTTTTAAAATGATGAAGAATTGTTATGCATAAAATAACCAAAAATGTGTTTCATTAACATTTTGTATCCTTTTGTCTGCTTATAATGAAACACACGAGCAGGGTATTTTATCAAAACAGCATGCTGAATTAAACCCTATATACTCTTCAAGGACCAGGTGAGTATGTTTTTTATTTTAGACCCTAGACCAAAATGAGTACTTAACCCCTGCATTTCTGGGGTAGCCCCACTGAAAGAGTTCTTCTTTAACTTTTGGTCTTCTAGACTCTAAGCACCAGGTAATTTGCCTCTTTCCCTCCAGCCACTTGCACTTTTTTCCACCATAGACGCATGTGCAGGTCCCTGCTCGATGACATGGCCAGCCACCATCCAGCCTCTAGAGCCCCAAGAGCTGTGTTCAGTCACCAGGGTTGTGGGTTGCATTGATGCTCTATAGGAGCAAATAGCTAGAATGTGCTCAGGCAGTAGGAACTACGCCGGCATCCCCTTCCACTGGTTTCAGCACTGTACTTCTTTTTGCCTTTGCTGTATCTGGTGTTCCTGTCAGTTCTTGCACTAGGGTGACAACGCTGTCTGCGCTGCTGCTCCTGTTTAGGGAGCAGCTCAGGCAACGTTGTCACCCAAGTACAGGAAGTGAAGGAACTGACAGGATCAATAGATAGAGCAAAGGCAAAAAGAAGTACAGTACTGGAACCAGTGGAGGGTAAACTGCTATTTTATATATTTATTTCATTTATTCATTTTTAAGTTTAAAACATTGTAACAAAATGTGTCACTTAGCATTCTTGTCAAGCTCATGGACGCATGGATGCTAAATTTGGTCTAGGTTTTAATGATCACTGGTCATGAAAGAATGAAATAACAGACGAGGCTTCGATCTTCCCATCGTGATTTGTGATGTACCACAAACCTCAGCATGCTTTGTGCACCACACTGACACAAATCTGGAGCAGTCGCCCAGGGCAACCAATCAGCTTCTCTCTTCAGTTTATTCAGTTAAACTTTGAAAAATGAAACAGTGAAGCTGATTGGTTGCCATGCAAAGCTGCTCCAGATTTTGCCTGCTCCAGTTTTTATGAATTTCCCCTCTGTGTCTGTAGGAACTCCAGTTTCCACTAGCAGTTGATGACAAGATGTTCTTGAGACATTCAGCAAGGTCTCTAGCTGCTTCACATTTTGTAAACCCTTGGGATGCTTCCATTAAATCCTGAGCCATGCTGTATTGCAGAGAAGGATTTCATTTTGCCTATACATTGTTTCCCCATTTTCCACCCATGAGTCCCAATGCACTTTTCATGAGCCAACAGAGACTGCTGTAAGCTTCAGACTTGATGATCCTTTTACAGATTTGCATATACATGGCATGTTTCTTGCTGTGAAATAATTCGTGCTGCTCTCCCTTGCATAAATCTCAATCTATCCCTGCATTAAATGCATATTGCTCCCCTCCCTCCCCATCCCTGACAGACAGCAGCTGGGGTTAGGATGCCTGCGGCTGCAGCAATCCTGTTTCCTCCCATCAGCATCACACAGAAGCTGCCACTTTAACCAGCTGTTGCGTCTCCTCCGATCCATCCGAGCAGCTGCGATCCAGGCCGTGTTTTCCCAGCTCGTCTCTGCATGTCCCTTGCTGGCTCGCTCGCTCACTGGCTCATTCGGCTTTCACTGCTCTGCATTGCTGTGGAGACCCCACAAGCCAGTACTGGAGAGGGAGCGACAAGGCGAGCTCGTTGTCTCCTGTCAAGTGGATGTTGGCAATGCGTTGACGTTCTCTGGTCTGGGCTGACTCTGGTGGGAAAGTCTGAGTTCTTCTGGGCGCACGTATGGATCGTTCAGCGAGAGAAGGGTATTACTGCCACGTACTGCGGAATGGAGGGATACTCTAAAATCGGTCACATTGACTCTTCACTCTCTCGTAGCCAGTGACACCTTAACTTGTGCCCTGCGATGGGCTCATGGCCGGGGGACTTCAGCCTGGACAGCAGAATGGGAGCAGCATGTTTCCTGCTGGTCAGTGGCTTTCTCAGTTTGCAGCTTCCTCCCTCTGGTGAGTTTGACATCTCCAACTTATCTAGCACCTGCAAAGGGAAGTTGGCTGCTATGCCAGTCTACACTGGCAGCCTCCTCTGTGTGTGTGCCATGGAGTGCTCTTGTGGCATGCTTTAGCGTCTTCACCTTTGCTCTCCCCCCCCAAGGAGAGGCATAGAAACAGGTCCCACTCATCATATACTGCGGTATGTCATCTACACATCACAACAACATGCACAGGATGACATTGGATTTGCTTGATGATCACAGCTAGGGTGAAAGTTACTGAAGGCGATCATCAATGGCCATGCCAAAGCTCCCCCATTATAAATCAGGGCTGATAATAGGATGTTCTTTGATGGGCTTCACTTTGCATTAAGTTCTCTACGACCTCTGCGCAACAAATAACGTTCACTGAACCCTGTATAGAGAGTGATGGGGGCTCTAGACTTCAGCACCACTCCAGGGGACCAACACTCAGCTCCGATCCCTGTGGCAGGTTCATCTGCTGTGTGCTCCTATGCAGTGTCTCAATGAGAATGGATAGGGACTATTGAGAATTAGGCTCACACTTGTTATGCATGAACAGCTTGCTTGCATTCTATTCCATTGCAGTTCAGTCAGCAGAAGTACGATTTCCTACGGACATGCAAAGAGCCGACTAAGTCAAAATTCCCATTTCTGCATATACTTTTCTCAGCAGTGCCAAGTTCAGCAATCATCTACAGCGTTTTCTTTTAATAGAGATCACACACAGGGCATGCTTGATTGGCCTATGTACTATTTACTAGGTAATGCCAATGTCTCCCCATGTGTCAGTGTTATGTGTGGCCACAGAGACAGGTTTCTCTAGGTGAGGTCAGGAAGCCAAGGATTCGCTTTGCTTTATTATTTACCTGATCCTGCCTTTGCAGAAAACACTGATAATAACTCATTGCAAACAGGGCCTGGAACTGCACTATTGGCTTGATTTAGTGCAACTCACAGGGACTGTTTTACAATAGAGCTTTGTGCAGAGCATCCTTTTTCTGTGGGGCTAATGGTAAGAGAGGTAAATAGACTGATGGATAGATAGATAGATAGATTCATTAATAAAGAGATACATACATACATACATAAATACATGATAGATAGATAGGTTTGGGACTATATATATATATATATTACTACAATGCTGTCACTGATGCCTGTCCAATGCTTTACTAGGAACTACTTAATCCTATACCTTTAGGGACATTAATGATCCTGTCTATAGCTCTGCAGTGCTCACATGTTTCCTATAGAGCACATTGTACTTCTGTTTGAAAGCTAAACACCATCACATGAACTATGGCTGTGCATGTATTGTTCTATTCTGGACAAGGTACACATCTAGACTCGCATTAATTTTGCAAGGTTTATGGTCTGGGGATCTATTCTTTGTGTTTGTTTGAATAATCGCAGATTGAAAGAGAGAGAGTGTGGGTGTTTTGGAACAATCCAGCTTGCCATTCATCAGTTGGGAGTTTAGGTGCCTAAGCAGATGTGGATATGTCTAAACGACTAAGTGGCTGTGTCTGTATCTCAGGGTCAGTTATGGGGTTTTGTTGAGAATACATATCTACTAGTCCTGCAATATCTTTTTTTTTTTGCCTGTGTGAAAATACATTAGTACCTGGAGTGTGAATGTCATTCTGTTTCGCCTGGTTCCCTATGATTGCACTAGGGGATGTGAAGACCCTGAAACCCTGAATGAATGTGTTTAGGTCGTACAAGCCTAGAGGAATATTCTGAAGTTCTTTGTAGTACGTGCACAAAAACACAGGGAAAACGTGTGACTGTGCTGAAAGGACGTGATGTGTCTAGCTCTCTGCTTGTGTGATTGTGTTCAGTGAAGCAGCAGTGTACGTTGTGGATCTAAGGAAAGATCCTGATGTGCGTAAATGTAATTGTAATATTATGCAATGTGAAAATGGAAGTGTTTATTATTATGTGTATTCTTCATAATATATACATGACACCAGCCTGATTTGGGCTACCAAATCCCATTCATACCTATGTATCCTTCTAATTACATTTTAACATGAGCACCTATTGTGTATATTGATTGATACTATAGAATAGCATGGCATAGGATAGATAGATAGATAGATAGATAGATAGATAGATAGATAGATAGATAGATAGATAGATAGATAGATTTTTAAAGCACGTCATACTTTCATGCTGGTCAGGCTATCTGGGTAGTAAAAGGTGACACCTGTTCTTAATGGGGAATGAGCGATATCCAACATCTTGCAGTGCTATTCCAAGCCAGATGTGCCAGATGTTGTGTTGGCAAATCATAGTGAACCTTCGCTGGTCATACATGCTGGGCACTACTCTAGCCCTCCACAGTTTTTCTTGTGAGAGTCACAGGAGAGGTACTGGGATACATTGATATTTCTTTTTAAATATGTTAGGTGGGACATAACTTAAGCATTTCAGTGATTATGTTGTAAAATGCAGCACTAAAGAACTATCAAACTACAGTTGAAGTTATATTGCAGAATCTTACACTGACAACAAGGTGTAGGTCACCTTCTGCCACAGCTGGTCTAGCATTGAATCTCCAGCGTTATCTAAGCTGATCGAGACTGAGATGGCAGACAGTAACATGAGGACAACTTGATGACCTCAAAGAGGTATATGTGAGGCTGTCTGAAATGAAAGAAGAGCCCTTGTGCGGTGATATCACCTGACTGATGCTTTAGAGTGCGTTACTGTCTAATGCACACCATCACATCACATGCATCTGCATGGCCCAAATATAGGGTCTGAGGCCAGCATCATGCATGTCTTCATCATCTTTGGTAGCATCCATTATTTTAGAGGTATGATGGATGCAATAGATTTTATTTAAAGGTTTATCAACAGGCCAAAAAGTAAAGGCACTATTTGATGCTTAATCCAGCTAGTGTTATTTCCAGGGGTTTGAACAATTGATTGGCAGCGTATGGGGCATGAACAACCACAGGTGGGCTTAACTGGTTAGCTAAAATATTCCTGTAAATTCCCATTGGTTGCCTATTGTCTGTATAAAGATAAGCTAGTAGAAGGTTGGTCAGCAATCTGTTGGGCAACCATAATAATATGCATATCAGAGAAAAAAAACTTTGTTTCAAATTTACAACATTGGTGAGAACATTAGCTAACATCGAATGTAGCTGGTCAGCATAATAGCTGTGGTAACCAAAAGCAGAAAAAAAAAACTTGTGACAAAATACCTAACCCAAGGGCTTACATCATTAAACATCTGCTACCCACACATCCATTTGTTGTATCCATTAGAAAGCTTAGATTGTTTTCACTTTAACCATTGTAATCTTTAACTAAAGCCCTTGCTCACTCCCCTAGTCGTTCACTATAATTCACTCAATGTAATTAGTGTATCTGCAATGTAAAAAGCATTTACCTGGTTCTGAGAAACTTGTCAGGCGATAGTAACAAAAAATTTGGCATCCTTTAATGTTTTCTAAAAGCAGGGGGCATTCTAATGATAGACAAATGATGCAAATAGGGGCTCAACCCTGGAAATGTGTTATCCAGGAATCCGCACATAAAAATCCTAAATCCTTGATCCTTTGTTGGAGATTACAGAATTTATACAGACAACAAAAAAAGCTCCAATAAACAAGGTCATAACAACAATAATGCTGCTAAGGAACATGAGGAAACAATCGGTTATGTCCTTTTATTGGATGCTTTAGTAAAGGGATTCACTGCTATTCCTAAAGTTGATCGTGTGTTAATATGATTGTATTTAGGTAAATA